TAAGATAATCCGGTCCATAATTACTATAATTTGGACCGGGACTATAAAAAAATTTTTATGCAGTTAAACGGTTCCAATCCCACAGGAAATTATGAACCTAAAATTCTGTCAGGAGCCTTAGGAATTGTGATGCATGTCTGCCGGAAGGTTTCGGAATTGAATAAAACTTTTCGCGCTTGTTACAGTTACACGAAATCGTGTTATTTAATTGGTCAACAGTACTTTACTGACGAAAAAAATCCAAATATTTCCAAATATTTGGATTTTTTATCCAAATATTGGCTAAAATCCAAATAAAATTTTGCAATTTCATATCCAAAATTTTCCGGGTCTGCCTTACGTAAGCAAATTTTAGCTCAAGTTGCCACAATAAACTGTATTTATTACTGTATTAGACTAGATATTTTAAAAACAGTAAACCTCCTTTAGTAAACATTTTGTAAAATTATTAACGAAAAGTACAATTAAAGATTATAAATAATATAGTTCAACACAGATATTTTATATACCTAGCTAATTATTTTCAATCATCTTCATTTAATCGTTGAGCATATTTTGAAAAGGTGCTACTTTCTGTTCCATAAAACTTATTACCTTTTGATACTACTAGTAAATCTACTAACGGTATTAGAAATTCATACAACGTCATATCATCATTAGGATTTTTTAAAAAATTTAAAGGTTCTAAAAGATCATTAAAATCATCTAATATATAAATACATGAGAAAGTTTGAAAGAACGGTTGAAGGGAAATCTGATCTCGGTTTAAATCTATTGCTAAAAATATTTTTGTTGTTAAACAAACATTATCTTTAAAATCTGTTTGAATTCTTTGGATGAGTCTATTTATTGTTCTTTTTTGATTCCTGGCAAAGGGACCATCTCTTAATCTTGCGTGTACACCAATAAAACTATTTATGCCACCAATTTTATTAATAATTTTATCTAAAATATTAATTATAGTTGGATTGTTCGGTAACATTTCCTTTATTAATCTATTCCAAAATTCAATACTTTCAGGTAATTGTCGAACAATTCTAGTTGATGAAAATAAACTTCCAAAATTTATTAATTTTTCGGATCTTTTGCTTAAGTCAATTAAGTTCACTCGTTCTTTAAATTTATCGAGTTCGATTGTTGATGTAGCGTCATCATAATATCGTTGTTGGTATCTATGTTTGTCTCTAGTCACATTATACACTTCTGCACTATTATCGATGTGAAGTGATGCCAATAAATATTTAAAATTAAAATCTTGACGATGAATATATTTAATATTATGCTTCAAAAATGTAAAATCCACCAACTTTTCCCAATTATACATTGTATAAGTTATTATCTCGCAATTCTTTTTTCTAAAACAGAATTTAAAATGATTTTTGTTTGGATGTATAGATTGCGATAAAAAATTGGATAATTTATCATATGGCCGGCGTATACGTGGTGCATCTCCTTTAAAAAGAAGGAGAGGCGGAATTATCAGAGTTCTGTTTAAAAACCATGACAAGAATATTGCATTTTCCAATGCAATTCTTTGATTATTGAAACCATCATGGGGAAGGTAGGTTAAGTATTTTTCCGTATTAATTGCTAAATTATTAACATTATCTGATTTTTTATCTTTAATAATAAAATTAAAGGTTATAAACAGGGCTAAAACGACATATAGTAAATACCGGACATTTAAATATGTCGTTTTAGCCCTGGTTATAAATTGAAATAGAATCACAAAAATAAAAATCAATCGAATCTTAAATGCTCTGAAAGTCATTTGAGTTCAAAAGGCTCTCTATTTTTCGTCTGATTTTATTAAATGCAAACTTATATTAGAGTTCGCCACCAAATGTCCGGTCACATGATAAGACAACATAATTTCTTAGAAAATTGTTGAATCGTTTAGCTCCTTTATTGCTGTGAAAATTTCTTACGTAAAATATGTAACAAAAGCAATATAATGGTTATGTAATAAATTAAGGATATGGATTCTAATTGGTTGATTAATGTAA